GTTTTGAGATTTTGAAAAGAGTTGCTCTTTGGAGAGCATAGTATGATGAAAGTTGTAAGTTGTGTAGGGGGGGGGGGGGGTTATTGTCTATCATTGGCCTTTATGGTAGAACCCGTCGGGGAGGCCTGAGAGGCGGTGGTTTACCCTATGGTGGATGTCAGCGGTTCGAGTCCGCTTATATCCAGCTCGTGAACTTAGAGGATACTATGACAGCGATAGCACCGAATTTTGCCAATTCGGTAATTCGATCTATGATTTCACATTCATGGACGTTGATAAGATCCTTCCATTCAGTAGCACCTTTGGATGGCATAGCCTTAACGTTAATGTTGAGGTTCAAAAGAGGAAATGCTTGTGGTGGATACCTAGGCACCAGAGACGAGGAAGGGCGTAGCAAGCGACGAAATGCTTCGGGGAATTGAAAATAAGCATAGATTCGAAGATTCCCGAATAGGTCAACCTTTTAAACTGCTTGTTCAATCCATGAGCAGGCAAGAGACAACCTCGTGAGCTGAAACATCTTAATAGCCAAAGGAAAATAAAGCAAAAGTGATTCCCTTAGTAGCGGCGAGCGAAATGGGAGCAGCCTAAACCGTGAAAACGGGGTTGTGGGAGAGCAATACAAGTTTTGTGCTGCTAGGCGAAGCGGTTGAGTACCGCACGCTAGATGGCTAAAGTCCAGTAGCTGAAAGAATCACTAGCTTACGCTCTGACCTAAGTAGCATGGGGCATGTGGAATCCCGTGTGAATCAGCAAGGACTATTTGGAGGTGGCTTTGTGCGGTTACAAATTCCCGTATAATCTTTCTCATTCTATAATGACTAATAATCTCTAAAGGATGATCGAGTGTCTTCAAAGGATCCAACTGCATCACAGGGAAAGTTTTTTCTGCTTTGATTATGCTGATTCGGTGACATTATGGAAGGAAAGAAATGAGAGAATCTTCATGTCAAAGACATCTGATGTTCAACACATTTGTGACCTGGCGATTCAGGACGTGGAAGAGTGGAGGATGGATGGTCTTCACAACCTGGAGCATGATGGCATTATTGAAAGTGTGTTATATCAACTAGAAGGAGGGTGAATAGGCGATTTTTACAAATTCGTCATTGATGAATTTCTAGTTGAGGAACTTTTGCTAAGTGACCAAAAACAAGTAGCGGAATAAGTACTTAGGTACATGCATAACAAGACAGTAGCATAGTCATCACGATGAAATGAAACATACACAGAGCACAGGTAGCGTGTAAAACAGGATAAGCAGGCAGAAGACAAGATGACTGAAGAAATAGGATTGAGGAAATTGAGAAAGTCTTCAGTCAAAGTCTTCAAACAGTAACGATCAATTTCATCAACACACAAGCGAGGAAATGAAAGGGTTGAGGAAATACAACCAATAGCTCGGTGAAGATAGTGATTTGGTAGACCAGTTCCAACTGCTGTGACAGTTGTATGTCTGGTTGGAGCGGCTTCGTATTTAAACCAAAGGACAAATAGTCCCAGGACACACAGTCCTTACCGTATTCTCCTTGAGCTAAGGTCACATAGACCTCGCCCAATCACTCATGGTAAGTCTTCAAGGTGACTTCCAAACCTTCACAGACTAGGTCACCCGGCGATCCACAATTCCTCTTGGATGCTCTAGACCATGACGCCTAACCGTCTGGAAGATGCATAGTCTTCAAAGGTAACAAGCGTCGGTTCCACACAGGAACAATCTCTTTAGTGATGCTGAGTCACTTTGGGCTTTAGGTGTTGGGGTTTTGGGTTTTTCCTCACTGATGATTTTCGCTCAAAGTCCTCGGAGGATGGGATGCTCTAAATGACAAGTGTCAGTTTCTCTCGGAGCAGCCAACCATCTAGTGGTTGAAGGGGGCGGTTATTTGTAGGATCGAAAGTAGAGGGAGGGGGTGATTAGACTACTTGACCAAATAAAAATCTAGCCTTTTCCAATTTTAAGTTTTGGTAGATTTTAGCAATTTTACACAAGTCAAGCAATCAACCTACACATGCAATTCTAAGAGTATAGCAGCGGAATGTAAATCATTGCATATGAAGGTAAAGGGGAGGAGTTTGGAGGGAGCAAACGCAATGTTGACACGGAGATTTTTGGCGTGGTTCCGATAGGTGGTGCTATCGTACATCCACATTGATGGAGACTTCAACCCATGAAGGGTAACGGCTATGCGA